AATGAAGAAAGATTAATGCTAGGCCACCACACTCAAGAGTGTTCAGTAAAGAGGTCTTTGGAATAGTCACTAAATTAAAATATAGTATTGTGGCTCGGCGACCGTAGCACAGTGGTTACAATGCAAGCCACAATACACCAAGAACCCGGCCCAGGCCAACTGAACAACTGCAACTAAAAAATAGCTGGGCATTGTGGTGGGCGCTTGTAGTCCCAACTACTTGGGAGGCTGAGGCAAGAGAATAGCTTAAGCTGGGGAGTTTGAGCTTGCTGTGAGCTGTGATGCCACCGCACTCTACCGAGGGCAAAATAGTGAGACTATCTCAAAAAAAAAAAAAAAGAAAGAAAAAAAAATACAGTATTGTATAAATGATTTTCGCGAGAACCTATATACACAATTTGTTATAGTAGTGAAGATCTATAAAAATCAGTTAAAAATTTTAAGTTTCTACATGATGCATCTATAACAATCTGTACATCTTCTCTGAAATACCCATGAAGGGTATATACCAACAGTAAAATAAAACATTTGCATTTTAGCCTTCTTGATCACTATCCTCAATTTCTCCTTTTCCATTGAAAATGTAAAGAAAAAGTCAAGACAGATGATAAACTCAAATACTTAATGTTTTAATGTGTAGAAATAAAGTTAACTAACAAGACTCTACAAAGCAATTTCTTAAGGCGTATGTATCGTAGGAAAACTACGCTAAATAATATTCACTCAACAAATTTATTACCTGACAGAAAGCCTCAGGAGTATGGTTAATAATATTTCTGCTCTTCCACCAGCTTGAAAATATACTACTCTTTAAAGGAGTAAAAGAAAGTTAGAGAGAAAGTTACTTTGCCAGAGAGTGTATAATTAGTTTTAAACTTAAAACAAGTTACCTTAAAAATAAATGCTACCTTTACTATGTATCTACCATATACAGAGCATATTAAACAGCATACATTTTAAGCATATCAATCCATCATTTCAAAAAGGAGAAAAAAGGATCAGAAAGCTTATGGAACTTGCCAAATCTGCTGGGCAGGGGATATAGTAGGTTTGGCAGCTGTACCATCACGAAGCTGCAGTAAAAAGAAGTAAAGATAATAGCCTACCACTACGTAGAGGCCCAAATTTTAATACTGGCTGACAGAAAAACAATTTCTCTTCCACGATTTTAGTTAAATCACAAAGATTGTACTGAAGCAAGTTAGTCATTTTTGTGTCTGAATCAACCCTTTTTTTCTTTCACTGGAGGGAAAGTGACTAAGTGTGAAGAGAACTGGTATATATAAATAGCTCTCCTGTAAAATCTACCATCATTTAGATCTATCACAGTTTAACTGAAACAAAGGATAACCTATCTGTTTTAATATCCACAGCTCTTTGTCTGAGGACTATTAAACCATGGTGATATTCTGAAAGGGTATAAAATACACCATGAATTACGATGTCGGTCTCTTAACAGTAGCAACTACACAGAGGACAGAAGTGCAGCGGAGCTTAGCTTGCACTGTAACTGAGCTTAATAATAACAAGACTGTAAAATTTACTCATCAATTAAGTATTTACCTCCTCCATTTCATTACTCTTCCTCTTCCGGGTCTTGGAAATCTTAACTGTCACTGGTGTGGTAGAACCAGGGTGTTTCACTGCCATTTTGTTTGGCCGTAAAGGTGTAAACTGAATCTCTAACTCAGGTTTTGGAAATCGAGTACTTTGATCATTTTCTGTTGACACTTCACAAGAGTCAAGGACTACAGATCCATCCTATAACAGAATTAAAAAGGAAAAAAATTACTTATAAAATATAAATTTATAAACCACAAAGAATCCTCTCAAACATCTGTTCAAGACAATGGATTGGGAAAAATAAAAAGTATGCTAGGCTATAGCAGAGGCAAAATGAGTTATCATCTGCCCTCTTCAGGTTTACACATGGCATCTTAAAACTGGGGGAAAGAGATCAGTATTTCCCAAACTGTGTGATACTAAGAATTACCTAGGGAATTTGTTTAAAAGATTCCTGGATCCTACATATGCCACAAACATATAAATCATAAATCTCCAAGGGAAAAGGCTAGGATTTTTAACAAGGACTCTAATTATAGTAAATTTAAGGTTGGCTGCAAATTCTTTGCTTCTCCTCCTATGAGAAATAAAGTTTCCTTCCTCTTTCCTTCAATCTAGGCCTTAATGATTTCTATGACCAATAATAACAAGAAGTTGAGAAATAACATTATGGTCTTTCTAAGGATCAATCATAAAAAGCATTGCAACTCCCATCCCATCCTTTTGAAACACTTTTGAAGTACTTCTATTCAAAATGCCACATTTCAGAATCCAGCTATGAGAGGTCCAGGTCCAAACCACAGGCAGAGGCCACATATAAATCCAGTAGAACTTCCAGAATCAACTACCAGCTAAGTGAATGAATCATTTTGGACTTTCAGCCCAGTTAAATACATTGATTTTCATGAAGGCAAGAAAAATACAAAATAGCACAACAAAATGATTCTCAAAACTGTGGAATATACAGTAACTGATGGAATTATACATAGGAAATTGGAATCAAGAGGCTTTTGAACAATATATATAAATTTACAGAAAAAAAAAATGTTCCATTATACATGTCTGCCCAAGCTATAAAGAATTAAAACTCTTTCTGGTCCAATGTTGGACCTCATCCGACATAATGATTTTCTTGCTCTGCTCCAGTGTCAGAAGATTTGATACATTTTTTTTGTGCCTCTCATTTCACAACAAAAGGTCAGTGACAATGCTGAGTACATTCTTTGGTGCTCAAATACAGCTGATCACTGGTTATAGGAAGAAACAGCTTGTTCAGTTTGAAAAAACTGACAGTTAATTTAGCATACACAAAGTTTATGGGAAGAGTAGACAGAGCTGATAAGTATTGTGGATGTTACAGATTTACAAGGGGGTCCTAAAATAGTGGAAGAAATGATTCTTCTGGCTGATGGAAGTTGCAGTTGTGAACAGCTAAATCCTTTACCCATTAGATAAGAAGGAGAGAGAAGAAAAAGTGCAGACACACCTTTCTTATGGGAGAAATCTCATCACTCAGCTTGTGAGCAATGTGAGAAATAGAAATTCAAGAAAGAGGGGAAGATCATTATTTTCTGACATTTAGGAAGGGCAAAATGGGAAGATACACTTTATAATACAAACTGAAAAAGATCAACAAAGGATTGCATGGTTTACACCAGAAGAAATGAGAAAGGCAGGAAGAGAGAAACCATTTTCTACTGCGAGACATGCAAGAGGAAACCTGGACTTTATCCTGGAGATTGCTTCAAGAAGTATCACACTCAAAAAATTATAAACAAAAATAAACAAAAAAACTTTAATTATTTCATATTACTTAGAATAGATAATAAAATTATCAGATGAGTTCACATTTATGTTTTTGTCTTTTAAAACTATAGTATAATTATAAGTAATCCATCAACCTTCCCATCCAAAATAAACAAGAGCTGGAGAGTATGCAGGTGGCAGAAAAATTGGATTGGAATGTTAAACCTTGTTTGTGGATGAAATTCAACTTTTCCACAAACTTTATGATTTATATTAGTCACTAAGGTCAAAGTTAATTAATTCACTCTACCAAGAACTATTAAGGAAAGAAAAGTCAATAGAAAAGGAATGGTTTGTGTATTTTCCCAGATTAAAATGCCCTTCTCAGTTGGGTATGATGGTGTGTGTCTGTAATTACTGATACTAGGAAAACTGAAGCAGGTGGAATGCTTGAGTTCAAGAATTCGAGTCTAGCCAAGGCAACATAGCAAAACCCTAACACTTAAAAAGAGAAGAAAAGCTCTTTCATTTCCAATCTTTGCTTAGTAAACTACTATTTACCTTTAAGATTCAGTATATCACCTCTCATCCACAATCATTCAGGTAAGAGTCTTTGCATCTTCTTTGGTGTTCCTTATAGCACTTACTTCGTATTTCTATCATTATACCCATACAGTAAGGTCAAACAAGTCCTTCATTTATTTATCTGTATTACTAGATTCCTTACTCCTTGAGGATAGTACTCATATCTTATGGTTGTATCCTCAGAGCTTAGAAAGGTTCCCCAAACCAAATTCTCCCAATAAATGTGTTTAAAAAATAAAATTTAAGAAGTAATTTTATCTTCAAAAATTTTAAGTGACAGAGAATTTTCATCTATTTCATATTTTATTTAAGAATCTCTACATTGGCACAGTGCCTGTGGCTAAGGTGCCAGCCACACACACCTAAGGTGGCAGGTTTGAATCCAGCCTGGGCCCGCCAAACAACGATGGC